TAGAAGTAGAATGCATGGCACATCCCAGAAAAGGCCGTGGTCAGCATCGACTGTTTTCCAACTCTTTATTTATATATCACATATAGAAACGATTTAACTGAGCAATCAGGAAGAGAAGATGATAACTAAGAGAAAGCCATGATCATGAACTAATAAAGTTAGAATTCACAACAAATAAACAACAAAGCAAACATTTACTCGGAACGTACCCCCAAGTTTACAACCTTGAGATCTCAGACAGTCAGAGATCAGTACCAAATGACTATTGGAATGTTGTTAGTGAGCAATTCCATGTGATATAAGTACCCAATCAGTAATAGATAGTTAAATTCCTTATTTAATTTAATGTGATTTTTTACGTATTTTTTCGAAAATCCGCCAATGGAGCGTTCATAGTTGGCGATCGTACGTGCGATTAGGCGATTAGGCGATTAGGCGATTAGTCTATAATGAAAAATATACGTATAGATTAGGCGATAGGCGAGTAGGCGAGTAGGCGATTAGGCGGTGAAGACTACATACGTATTGATTGGTTTGCTCCGCCCATAGAACGTTGTAGGCGAGTAGGCGAGTAGGCGAGTAGGCGATCGCCCAAAAGGCTACATCAGCGCTTGTCCGCCTGTCTACTACCCCGGGTTGGGCGGGCGAGCGCGCCGAATTGCGGAGCGTGCCTTTAAACTGAAGCCTGAACAAAATGCTGACTTCTCCTATCCCACAACGACAGAAGCGCTTTTTTTCATAGACACAAGCTTTTCCTCATTCTAGATATTTCAGGCCTTGACCCTTGTGAACGGTCGAGTGCTACTAATGTTGGCCTGATGTTCGTTGATGGCGATCCAAGCATGGAGGATTGCCGATGTCTAAGCCGGTTTTGTTTCGGCCAAGCACTTATGCTGAAGTTCTATGTAAAATACAACATAAGCGAAGATCTAAAAAGCATAAAAAACCAAAATTGCCAAGTTTGGAATAAGAAAATATCGACCTTGCTAGTCAATACTCCTAAAACGATAGCAGAAGTGCATATATCGGTGGTCCCAAGAGGTCCTGCCGCGCGTGCGAGAAGAACGCAAGACGCGGCAAGGACGAGTCGCCGCTCGTACACAGTATTAGACTAGACATAGGACAGACAGAACTATATGGTACAGCTTACTTCGACGCTGACTCTGACCGTCCGAGTATGCTGCGACTCGTCTTTTGCTGCGCCTGTGCTCTTCCTCGCCGCGCGTGCCTCTGGGGACACATCTGCAATATAGGAAGATAGTAATTAGAATAAGTAATGACTGAATTTAAAGAAGGCGAGAAAGACGGCCAAAAAACGCAGGCTTCTACACATTTGAGGCAATGCCAGATTCGCAGCCAGCAGTAGTATAAAATGCGTGAAAGTGGGGCAAGGGGCACTCCATTTTGCTCCCCAATACTAAAATGGGGTAGCAGCGTTCATGACAAGAAATCAAGTGGTGTAATAATGTAAATATTCTTCTGACAGGAATCAGCCTAATATGGGAGAACTCGACATTCTTTCACATTTCCTATGACATTGTTCCAGGAAACGGTCCCGGAGCAGGGATATTGGACATCCTGGCAGGGTCAACCGTCACGTTGGACAAATTTCAAAAATTTTACGACCCCTTCTGGAGGGCCTCGATACGACCTCCCAGCTGTTACTATAGTATTTGATTCTGAGACCAGTTGACACAGCCCAACTCCACCCACATTTCCTCCAAAATAGCCGTCGAGCGGGATATATATATCAACAGTTTTTTTCTTAGCACTCACAAAGCGTAAAGCGTCACACTACGACCTCCCGTTGGTGTAGGATTGACGCTGCCTCCGACCTTGCGAATACGACCCCCCCCTTTTCGTCGGCCGAATACGACCCCCTCGTTGGACTTTGTCCAACGGACAGTTGACCCTGCATCCTGGCCTGGGGTGGAGGAGCTCCCGGTTGGATGACCAGGCACAAAAAATTGAGTAGAATGTGGACTTTGTAGGTATGAAGGACTGGTCCTTATCGAGAGTGAGTTCAAATGAGGCGATTAGGTATCTTATTGTTTTAGAGGGTCTGCAGAAGTGTTTTCTAGTACAACTCAGTTTTCTAGTGGTAAGGGCGAGATAACAAGGAGTGACCCCCCAAACTCCATGTTCACCACACATATGTTCAGTGCTTTAGCCTTGTTTTGAGAAGAAAGTTTTCCTTGATCTATTATACCTGCTTGTTTTCACGGCGCGTTTACGAAAATTGCTTCCGTACACTGGAGTTCCTCTCCTCTTCAAAAGCTTAGTCCTAAAACGTTTCCGTGATTTTGACGCGATGTTGCGAGGTGCCCCCCCCCCGAGCCACATTGCGCCTTATAGGATTACGATATTTATAATTCGAAGAAAATATAGAAGTCAGCGGGTCGATAAAGTCCAAGAAGTTCACTGAAAATTTCTCATTGTTTGATAAAACTTGGTCTTTTTTCAAGTACTTCGGCGTCTGCGGTGCTTATTGCGAAAGACCGAGTATTTCGCGAAGGGCTCCTGCAAGGATACGATTTCAAGTGAGTTTGCTCACCAAAGGCTGAAAAAGGGATTGACATTGATCGTTCCACTAGTACTGCGGGAGCTTCACTCGTTGCTTGCCTTCTACGTCTCGAAATTTCGCTAGTTTTCTCAACCTAAAGCAACAGTCCGAGCAGGGTTTTAACCTTCGACACTATTGGTGCGGGACGAAAATCGGCTGCAATCGCCTCGGCTGATTTCCAACCACACCCACTTCGGAGCCGTTCAGCTCCCTTTCTAGCAGCTTTCCAAGGTAGGTTTTTTTATCCTCACACTTCTTACGAACTTGACTAGGGCTAGCGCATCGTTCCACACCATTAGTGTTAAAGGTAAAAACTGTGGAGGATTCCTTTAACTGATTGAGGAGCATTTTGAAAGAAGTCTAAAGCTAAAATTCGACGCGATTTTCTCCTTTTCAGCTTTACTGTGCGATTTGACCAGTGCATAGAAATACTGGCTGCTGGCATGACCGTCGAGTTAATTCGAGATTTGAATGTGGACGCCATAATCGGGCCCACATGCAGTTATCGTGAGTATTTTTTTAATCATGACGGTGGAAAGAGGTCATTAGTTTTGTTGGTTGAATGTTATAGCGTGGTATCGCGTCAGTCTTACTGTAGTGTTTCACCAGTATACTTCCAGCCACCATTAGCCCCACTACTTTTGTTTCGCAAGCAGCTGAAGCAGGGTCGGTCCTATCGTTGCTACTTTTTGGATTTTTTACTACGACCCCCCCCCTTCATGGGCGATTTGGTACGACCCCCCTGTGTGTAGCTCAAGTGGTGATAAGATTACTTAAACAATAATAATCATATGAATTAAACTTTTTTAGACAAGAATGCTGAATTTCGGTTCAAATTTCATAAAAGACGAGTTACCATTCCGAAAAACAGCGTAGGCATGGAATTAGGACATAAAGTCATTTATGATACGGACCTCATGGCTGAGGGCTAAAGGTTTGACAGGTTTTTGACAGGTTACGTTTCTGTGGTGGATCGCGCCCTCGGTGACCGCAGTGGGGCGCGTTTGTTGAAGGGGAACAGGTGTCGAAAGGGGAAATCGAGAAGTAGAAGAATTTTTCCTCGTGAAATTTCAGGTTCCTCGGAAGACGGAGGTGGATTTCGGATCACCGACGGTCATCCTTCTTAATTATAGAGGATTTTGTTCTTAAACAATCTGAAATAATTAAGTTATTGAGCAAGAAATGAATTTGCACTACAATTTTCACCTTCCTCTTTTTAGGGCTATAACTTTCTTCATATTCGAGCTTTTGCGCCGGAGTTATTTGATTTAAAAATTCAAATCATTCTCTCTCCAATCATGGCTGAAAATTCATCGAAAGCTAATTTAGTAAAAATTTAGCACGTTGAAACTTTTTTCTGTGCAAACGCGACTTTTCAACCTTTAAACGACCATAACTTCCTTCAAACTCATTTATTTGGGAAGCTGAACCCGGTATGAGAAACTACAATTCAAGCTTCCTAATAAGTACCCAAAGGTATTTTAAAAGCGAGTAATTCAAAAATTAGTCCCGTTGCTACATTTTAGGGGGGTTCGCGGAACTATTTTTCTGAAACCGCGACTTTTCAAGCTTTAAACGACTATAACTTCCTTCAAACTCATTTATTTGGGAAGCTGAACACGGTATGAGAAACTAGAGGATTCAAGCTTTCTAAAAAGTACCCAAAAGTTCTTGAAAAGTCAGTAGTTCAAATTTATCCGTTGTCTATTCTTTGAAGGGCATTTTCCAAGCCATTCTTTCAAGAAAGCGGTTTTTAGGGTTTCACTGCCCGTAACCTTCAGGGAAAACGAGATCGTGCTGACGATAGGATGTGTCAGAATGCTTTGTGCATGTGCTTGCACTGGTATCCCCTGTCTTGGTGTGCGCCACGCCTCGGTCGCACTCCTGATTCGCTGATTCATTTGGAAGGTCATTCGGAAGTAAGGGGTTTATAAACGCTCTAGCATCAATAATCTTGCGTAAACGTAATGTGCTGACTATTGTCCGTGTTGTCTTACAAGGAAAGGATCCCACCTCGACATGGCCTTTCAGGATGGGATGCATATTTCTGTACTAATCTTGGGACGCTGAATTCGAATCTGCCCTCCAAATCTGCTAAACGATTCTCTGAACGAAGTTGCGAAATCGTTTATCGGCGGAGAGTGCGTTCATGAGTCACTGGAGCCGCAACGGGGATGTGCTTCGGTGGCGCAGTTGGTAAGCGGATGGACTTGGGGACTCGAGATGGAGGTTCGAATCCTTGATGAGTACGCTAGTTTTGCCTTTTATCCTTTCGGCTCCTAAACTTTTGCAAAACGGTTCTAGACCCCTTTTTGACTAGTAGCACGCCTTTTCGACCGCGAACACGTGCTGAAAACAGGGTTTTGAGCACAAATTTCATTTCAACCACCAATGCTCAAGGAATGACCAGGAGAGGATTGTACGCAACCTCCATCGCTTTCGCATTTCGACACCTTTCGGCAATCGTATTTGACAACATGTTTGGCCAGCAGAGGATTTCAAAACCTTTGGATGCCCATGTGCCACCCCAAAGAAGAAAGCAACTTCCAGCGAAATGTTCTGCCCAAAGGTGGTGCTGTCTCATTTGGTGAAGGAATTTGGTTCCTGTGACATTACGCGAGCACTATTTCGGAAAGAGCGAAAGCTGATAGAGGGTTTTTCCTCGATATTGCGTGACGCTATATATGACAACCTTCTTATCGACATCGAGGAAGACAATTTCGTGGAGAACGACCACACTGACCCCCTCTGGTCACCTGAAGACGACAGTTTCGGCACAACCAAACCGATTTCAGTAATACTCGCATTGAATAAAGTCTTCAGTTCCTTTACATAAACGGAAGATGCTTGCGGTTCCCATTGAAACGGAATTTTCCGTGGAGACCCTGTTTTCAGCACGTGTTCGCGGTCGAAAAGGCGTGCTACTAGTCAAAAAGGGGTCTAGAACCGTTTTGCAAAAGTTTAGGAGCCGAAAGGATAAAAGGCAAAACTAGCGTACTCATCAAGGATTCGAACCTCCATCTCGAGTCCCCAAGTCCATCCGCTTACCAACTGCGCCACCGAAGCACATCCCGTTGCGGCTCCAGTGACTCATGAACGCACTCTCCGCCGATAAACGATTTCGCAACTTCGTTCAGAGAATCGTTTAGCAGATTTGGAGGGCAGATTCGAATTCAGCGTCCCAAGATTGGTACAGAAATATGCATCCCATCCTGAAAGGCCATGTCGAGGTGGGATCCTTTCCTTGTTAGGAGCAATACTCCAGCTACACTTTAGTTTCAAATGTGGTTTCGTGGGTGGACCCATGTCATGGTGGGGCACTTTTTTGAACGATGCTACATGTCTTGCAGCTGCTGTTTCTGCGAGTATTCCTTTCTCATGCTCTTCCTGAAACATGGTTATGATCAGTAGGGACATTACCACAAATCCCGCTGCCGGCCACCGAGAGAGTACGACCCCCCTCTGGGTCCATCCAAGTACGACCCCCCGTTGCTACTTGTAGCAACATAGGGTTGACCCTGGCCTTCCAAGGGCCTTTACGCTACCCTGTCTCTCCAGTTCCCTCCTCTCAAAGCTTCGAGAGGATCTTGCGCTGCTTTCATTTGACGGTACTCCCCAGGAGACCCGTCACGCAGCAAGAAAGTAGAGTCGCGACGAGTCGCAGCGGGTGGCGATTACATGCAGCGCATTGGCCATGTCAGACTTTGCGAATCGCGCGATTCGCTAGCGTCTGCGGTCGCGTCGCGGCCAGTGAATCACTCAATTGGCTGGTACCGCAACGCGACCGCGGACGCTAGCGAATCGCGCGAATCGCTAGTAGCGAATCGCGCGATTCGCAAAGTCTGACATCGGCCTAAGACGCAAAATGGGACATTCTATTTAACTTGACGCGAAATCCCTACAGTACGCGCGGCTCGTCCGCTGACTCGCCTTCTTGTCGCGCGACGGGCCTCCTGGAGGGGTACCCCCCATCTGACAAACTGCTAGTGCGCCACAAAACCTCCAAAGTTTATTGGACGGGTTAGGAGATTTCATCAAGTATGGGGTCATAATTATGGTGACGAAATGGAATCTCAAGAAACTCAGCGATGTAACGTTCAGCAAAGATTTTGAGTACATTTTCAGCTTCGCCATACGTCTATATTTTACGCTTTCGTGGTTTCATTGATGTTGTTGGGTGAATGACCCCACTTACTTCACTATACCGAACCCCCACTACACTAAAAGGCGGATACCTGACCCCCTGAAGAACATCAGCACTCCGTTGTCGTTGTGCGGGCAGCTTCGTCATATCCGTAATCACTACTTTTCAGCTGCTATCATTTCTGCGCTGACGGCTGGATTCTACAACATCCCTCTTTTCACATGGGGCTTGAGTACTTCGGCTGCTTTGGACAGTATGATCCGATTTCCAACAACTGGACTTCTGTCTGTCAACTCTCTCAGGTGAATGCAACAGACGTCTTGGTGTTATAACGATACTGCTAAAAATTTATACAAATTCGAGCCCTTCTGCTCCAGGAACGATACTTGCGATGAATTCTCTGTGCCTCATAATGTAGGGTTAAATTGCAGAATTGAAAGACTATACTGGTTCAAAGAAATTCAGAAGCCTATTACTGAAGAGTGGAAAAAGTTTACCATAAATGAGAACAGACGGGTGCAAAAAGTGAGAAACTCTATCAAATTTAGCCTCGGAATTGCAATTCGTTTTGTTATGACGTCATTTGCATGGGACCAATTCGCTTTTGTTTATTCAAATGTCGACGATGACGAAAAGTGCGATGTTATGAAGACTGACGTTCAGGTTGTTTTCTTACTCCTTTTTCTTATCACCAGGTTGGTCCCCCGTCAATCGTCGGGACTTCTTTTCCCTGTGTACGCTTTACCGTCTTGGAATGACATCAAAACCTAACCAAGCTTAGGTCTGTAGGTGATTGGTTTTCTTCCTCCTTTCCCCAAACACCTCCCTTCCATCCACTGCCCTCCAGCGGCTGTAGCACCATGTGAAATAACTGGAAGTGACCTCAGTAGGTGTTTATGTAGCCGTTGGGGTGTTATCACAATCATGCCATTGCAAAACACTAATAGCTAAAGTCCTGTGAGCTACATGATTCTGTTAGCGGTTTGTTTATCCCATGAGCTTCCTTCTCACTCACTTCATTTTGCGGACGGACACACATACATACATACACACACACACACACACATACAGACATACAAACCGACACACAAAGTTAGCGCTTTATAAAATAGAAGGATTTAAAGTATAACTTCGTATAATTGGTGTTCAATTCGAGTAGCCACTGGGTGAGGCTTAGACGGTCTTATGATTTGTGGCTGGATTGGATCGGTATATCAATCTAAGTCGATTCTGAATGGTGTCGACAGAATCCAGAGAAATCAGGAGCACGGATTATCATCTCAATGGGACACAACGAAAGTTTTATCGATGCTGGCCTAGCAGCGAGTGATAATCGATTTTCGACGCTATTCGCGGATACGTGAGCCTGTAGTGGCATGACCCAACAACGCTGTGAATGTCTACTTTCGTTGACGGGATAATCGTAAGGAGAACTGTAGGAAGACTCAGGGTTTATGAGCATTTTTTATTTCTAAATTGCGTATCTTCGATAGCGCCCATTTGGCATCCAATCAAGGTCATTTGTTTGAATGCCTCGATTATCTATGTAGATAAACGTTCCCATTCGCTGGAATTTATTAAAGGACGAATTCACGATGAAAAAGCAACCCATTTCAAATTAACCTAGGGATGGTGAGTGGTACACGAAAGAAGGAAGAACCATGAGAAACGGCCCAGAACCCGAGAAATGGTACCCCTTCCTTGCCCGTTGATTCGAGCATTGATGCGACTCTCATCGCTGTGCCCTCTTCAACACTACGCTCTCTCAGCTATCTAATCACTCGCCACGTATTGAACTACGGCGAGTGATCAGATGATCGGTGGGCGGAGATCGCCAGGACCCGCCAGCTTTGAGGCATGATAGGTCGCCGAGGTCAAATTTTTCCATGCGAATTGCGCGTCAGTTCGCACCCTCAGGAGGTCCGTGGTCCCTCAACTAGGTCAGTTCTCTTTCTATGACTTCATGCTGAATCGTGATTCCTCCTTCAATGCCATCTAGTATTTTGCATAGACTCTTTTTCAGAAAATCTCGGCTGGAAGTGGGCGATTCGAAGAAGTGCGTCGATCTCTCGTTATCCTAGTTGCTGCCTTTCTCCAATTGCGATTCGAGCCCACTGCGATCATTTCACAAAGTGCTGCAGGGGCAGTTAGAGGGCAGTGGAGAGGGAGGAAAGGAAAACCAATCGCCATCAAACCTAAAGTCCATAATTATGGAGATATTATATGCCATGATTGTATATATGGTCCCTATTACATTTACCATTTTTGCGCATCTCCTCCATGAGGTGTCGATGTCACAAGTGAAAGGGAGCATAACAGAAGGCATGAATCTTGTTCAAGGAGGTAGGGGGCTCGCCGGCGATTAAACCCGGTGAACTGACTTTCCAAATTTTTCAAATCAGTTCTGGCTTGCATCCGGAATTTTCTGAGTAAGAACAAAAACAAACAAATAAATAGATACGTTAGGGGAATGTATGGCTTATATAGCAGTTTTGGTGCTAGTTGACGCCTTGGGGGGGGGGGAAGGCATTCGAAACTGGTGGCTCACAATAGTACTAAGCCTAGGACAGGGGAGAAATATCAGGGAGGACAGCATTGTTCACATCCCTCCCCAACTTCCTTTACTCCCCAGGCTTGGTCCCAAGTGGTGTTAGAGGCTCACACGCTTAAAGCAACAGTCCCAGCAGGGTGGGCGTGGTCGGAAACGGCTGCAATCCCCTCGGCCGATTCCCACTTCGGAGCTGTTCAGCCCCTAGTCAAGAACGTAAGAAGTGTGACTGAACAAAAACTCACCTTGGAAAGCCGCTAGGGAGGGAGCTGAAGTGGGCGTGGTCGGAATCGGCCGAGGGGATTGCAGTCGTTTCCGACCACGCCCACCCTGCTGGGACTGTTGCTTTAAATGTTGCTCCTCCTAACCCAAGGGCATTAGCGCAGCAATTTTGAAGGTCACGTTCCCCCAAAAAATATCTTGCAGTCACATATATTCTATAACATTTCTTCATGGCAATTGCACCTTTCAGACCGCTATTTCGATGACAGACGAAGTAACAATTTCTTCGATCAGTGAGATGAAAGATCTGCAGCCAGACACAATAATCCGAACACTGGGAAATATCAGCACTAGAGCAAGAAGTACTACTTGGTTCAATACCAAGCTCAAACATTCACTTAACTTGTCAACATTTACAATTTCCTTCAGTTATTGTTGTATGCCTGGCGGAAGGAAATGGACAGAAGCGTACTTTCATGCTTGCGGCTAAGGACGGCGGTTTTCTCACTAACGAGTATCCTCTTCATTTTTGCGGACACAAAATCTAAAGGATACAGTAAGTATTCGATCAAGTGTTTTTCCTGGATAAGTATCCAGGGATCAAGAGCCCTAGATCTTCTGATGATCGCAACTGATTAGTGGTAAGAGCAGTTACCCTGGCTATAATAATAATATCTTTTTTTTCGCGGATTCATAATCTTGTTACCTAGTTGTGTTTCCTACTTGGTGGCCATTTCTCGTTAAGTAGACAACAAGTCTTTTCGGACCAGACTGCCAATTTATTCGACGGGCCAGACGAGGACCACCAAAGACAGGGTACCC